GGCTGTTTGGTTGTGTTCAGGGCTGCCATCAGCCCACACGCAGCCAGCTGTGCTGCAGCCTCACGTGTGCTGTCTGCTCACGTTTATTATGGCGATCCAGCATAGGCAACATATGGTGCACTATTAATTTTTCTTTGTCTCTAGTTGGTTTCATTTCCTGGTTCCCACGGCACTATTGAATTGCAAACGGAGCACAGGGGAGATTTAACACAAACAAGACCTTTTTTTCCTTTCCTTTCCCCCTGCCCTTCTTTGAAAGACAACTCCTGGTTTAGTTAATTTTTGGTTTGGTTGGGGTTCTTTGGTTGTTTGTTGGTTTTGTTGTTTTGTTTTTTTTTTTTAAATCCTGCTTTTTAGCATAAGTAGTATTTGCCAGAGACTTCTTTAAGCATAGTGTAAAAGAAGTCCTAGAACCCACAGAACCACAATATTATTTTATTTCAACGGGACTGCATTTATTAGTTTCTTCTGTTTCTTGATTTAGGCCAGAAGGAATTGATTACTTCTTACATGTACAGCATCGCACTGCTCTAACTGTATTCTCAATTCTGTTGTTCCCTGGTAGCAGTGGTTCTGGTATTTCATTCTTTTGGCTGTCATAAGTTAGTTATGCATATAAAATTATTAGAATTTGTGGTGCAGGATTTGTGGCTGATGGATGATTGRTTGTCCTGTCTGTGAGTAAGGAGTGTCCTGCTCAGATATGCTATGAACCCTCTGTTTTGGAGTGTATTAAAACAACATGCTGGGTAGGAAATTTCTACGATTGAAATGCAGACTTAGCACRGACTGTAATTAAAGATTCACAGTCACAGATATTAGCAGACACATTTTGTGTTGGTGCTGGCTGGGGAGCTCAGCAGCGAGGAGGGCAGGGCGCTCTGAGTGTTTGCTGTTTGTCTGTGTGCTCCAGGGCCATGCTCTCCATAAACATCTCCCTGTACTTTATCCCCAGCCTGCAATGGGTTAAACAGGCAGTTCTTGAAGTCGGGGCTGTTTTGGGATGTGCTGCAGGAGGCATTGAAGCTGCAGGGGCACTCAGGGAAAGGGAGAACCCTGTGTGAGGTGTGGAGGGGCTGCCAGAGCCTGGCCCCGGCTCTGTGCCCAAGCACGCTGCCATAACCCGTGTTTAGGGTCACAATGGCAGCTTGGGCTGTGAAAGCCTCTGGGAGCCTCMCGGGAGAGCAGAAAAGGGGAAATATCCCGAACGGGCTGTGCTTTGTTAGCAAGAGCTCAAGCAGGATCTTTCCCCCAGCATCAGCTGCGCTTTCTGCTCCATGGCAAAGCAAAGCTTGGGTGTGAGCTGGGAGAGCTGCACCTGCAAGGAAGGTGATGGACGTGACAGGGGAAACCTTCACCAAATAAACTGCTGGAACAGGAGTGTGACACTCAGTGATTGCTGTCCTGGCCGCTGGTTCAGCAGCTGCAGTCTCCACGACCTGTCCCCAACACCGAGGGTTTCCTTTCCTCCTGGTGCCCCCATCCCAGGGYGGGTTTATGGCCAGGATCCGCTGTGTGCCATGAAAATCCACGGCCTCGGGGGCAGAGGGGCTGGGCACAGCAGCAGGGGTGGGTACAAGGTGGCCAAAGCCTTGGTAAGTAGCCAAAGGGGAGCACGAGATCAAAATCCAGGGCAAACACACTTTAGATGTGACAGTTCTGATAGGAAAGTTCCCCAGGAGTTCAGTGGCAGGGCTGGCTGCAGAGCCCATGCCCCGTGTCCTGCTGCTGCCATGTGATGCCAAGCTGCTCCAGGTGCATTGACTGACCTCTCTCCCTTGTTCCCCYCCACAGGGGCAGTCAGGACGCGATGGTTACCCGGTAACTCCACTGTTCCTTTTATTTTATTCTTTTCTAATCYGCTCTCTGTGGTCCTCTCCAGCTTTTTCCATGATGCTTGATTTTCTTTGCCTGTTTCAAGCTTCTTTTTTTTTCCCTTTTCTTCCCTCTTTCTTCATTAGCAATAGCTTTTGAGGAATTTAGCCTTAATTTCAAAAGCCTGAGCAATATTCTCCATTAATGTTCATAGGGATGAAATATTTGAGTCCTTTCATGGTTGTGTGCTTGCCCAAGAATTCACTGCACTGCAAAGTGAGCAAAGGCTTTGGGGTTTGTCCCACTTAGAGCTGTAAGAGGCCGAATCTGAGGACACTGGTGAAAGAGCCTCAGGTGTTGGGATAAATCCTCATTTGCTCATACCCATTTTTTTCCCCCTGGAAACAGAGATGTCCTGCTGGACATCTTATTGTGACCAGACCCCAAACCTCAGCTTCCAGGCTGGCTCTCCTCATCCTCATCAATGCACATGGATGGCCACAGTGCTCCAGCTCCAAGGGGCTCAGCAGCTCATCAGGGAGGGATTCCCAAGCACACACTTGGTGGAAGGGGGTGGTAAAAAGCCCCGTGTGAATTCTCCATGTTCAAAGCGTGGAGAGAGAGTTTCCATCTCTGATTCTGCTTTTTGAATGGGTGCAGTGAGTCCTGCACTGCCTGATGCTCTGGAAGGGGTTACTTGGCTGTTCTTAGCCTTCTCCTTCCTCGGTTGATGCCCTTTTTTCCTTTTTTTTTTTTTTTTTCCATTTTTGTCTTTTAAAAATTTTTTTCCTGAATGAGGATGTTGGAAAACTCCCTCCTTGTCTCTGCCACCACATGCCCTGGCCTGGTTCCCTGTGATTACCCAGACACCATAGAAACAATACTGAGTTTTGTGTGTGTCAGGAGCTCAAGAGAGGCAGATGGGAAGGGAATTTCAGGACTGTTTGCAGTTTTTCCCTTTCCTGGACCCCTGGGATGCTCCCTGGGGAGGGCACKGCGTTCCCGAGAGAGGGAGGGTGGGTGATGGGTTCATGGTGCAGGACCAGCCCGTGCTGCTGCATCCCTGATGTGCGGCTGCTCGGGACTCCAGCGGTGATGAGGATGGGTTCAGTTTGTGGCCAGGACAGAGCAGGGAGGCTGTGAGAAATCCGGGCTCTGTCCAGCGAAGGGGTTTGTCTCCCTCAGGCGGCTCCTGCCCGCAGCAGCCCCGGGGATGCTGGAGCCGGGAGGCTGCGCTGACACCTCAGGGGTCTGTTGGAATTAAGGGTTTAATTTATTGGAAGTTAAGATGTGAGATTTCACTCCCATGGGGTGTTTAATGTCAGTTTAGGGTGGCTTTCTTCCCCCATGGCAGGTTTGTCCCTCTCAGCCCTGTGGTTCAGCTGTAAGGTCTGAAAAGCACAACCTCTGAGAGGGAATGGGACTGTTCTGTGACAGAGCATCACCCCTGCCCCAGGGACATCCCCCAGAGCGATTTTGGTGATGCTCCAGCTCTCCTGGGTGGTGTCAGGGACTGGCAGTGACCTCAGCTCTGCTGCCACATCCTCCCTGGGAAATGGCACCAACATCACGCAAAGGCTTTTCCTCCTCTCTCCACCCCCCTGCAGTCCAGCTGAGCTGTGGGGCTGGTCTTATTCCTGACTTTGAACCCAAAAAAACACTGAATTACCACATCCACACGGCTGTGGCTGCACTAATTAGCGTTATCTAATAAACAGGTGAGGATAATTGCATTTCCAAAGTAAGATGTATACCTGAAGAAGGAGGAAATGAAACATAAAGCARGCTTGGGAGTAAAATTCAGCAGAAGCATATGGACAGGTTTTATTAAATCCAGTTGCAAATTCAAATGAGTTTAATTATTTAGTTCCCTTCAGGGTGATCAAATAAACTCTGAGCTGTTTSAGGAGGTGGATGTGGTGAAAATGCAGAGTAGAAGGTGGATATTAAGTGGTCTGTGGTGGCACATTCATCCCTTGGCCAGCAGTGCTTTGAGCTACTCATTTATAACTGAGCTGCAAGCAAAGGAAGCYTTAAAGGGATGGAGTGACCCACAGCTCTGGAAATGGGGCCAAAAGAGRAAACAGCTTCTATGAGATGATTTCAATATTTTTATACTTAACATCTGAAGGGGAGAGATGTGGGTCTTACAATAAAACTTTACAGCAGAAAYAGTTTTTTCCTTTATGGAGTTCTGTAGGTTTATTATTATTTTTGAAACCCCAAAGAGGATTTAGTTTCCATTTTTAGCCCTATGGCATATCCTAATAACATTGCCATAACATTTGTGAAGGATATTGGGATTTGTTGCTCTYCTGCTCCTGTTTGATTTGCTTTTGACATCCTGCTGATCACAGCACCTCCCTCAGCCTGAATTCCAGTGTAAGGATGTGTGGGTCTGCCTTCTTTCCTCTTTCCCCTGTAACATTTGAACTYGGCTCATTTCAGCCACATTTGACAGAAGGACAAGGATTTTGCAGATAATAGTTAAACTTTTGATACCGGGGGCAGGAGGTGAGGCAGGAGCCGCGCTGCCACACAGCACCAGGGCAGCAGAGGAAAAGCAGATGTGCAGCCACCACAAGGATGGAAATGTGTTTCTTRTTGGGCAGGTCCAGGTTGTGGGCTCGGGATCCCCTGGGATGAGTCCCAAGCTGTGCTCTTGAGGCTGGAGCATCGTGCTGGATGTGCTGCCAGCAGGGCAGGGCTGTTTGTCCTGGTGGGGCTGGGGCTGCTGTCGTGAGCAGGGCAGGAGGAAAAAGAGAAAATGAGGAGCAGATGGGAGAGCTGACTGTGAGCAGGCTTYGAGCTGATCTTTTGGAGCAGGAGGATCTCTGCCCTGCACTGCTGTTTCATTGGATATCAGGAAAAGTTCCTTCACCAAGAGGGTTGTGAAGAGTTAGGCCAGACTGCCAGGGAAATGGTGGAGTTACTGTCCCTGGAGGGATTTAAAAGGTGTGGAGGTGGCTCTTGGTTTGGTGGTGGACTTGGCAGAGCTGGGTTAATGATTGGATTTGATGATCTTGGAGGTGATTTCCAGCCTGAATGATTCTGTGATTCTAAGCAGTGGCTGTGCAGTGATTTTTAGCAGCCTTGCCCCTGTCTCTCTCCCAGCCCCATGCAGGGATGGTTCCATATTTGCCTTCAAACTACTCRGTTGTTCTCCTCCATGATATTTCTCCTCTTTCCCAGTGAGATTCTGCCTTTGTGKTTCACCAGAACTCATTCCCTTCTCTCTCTCCATTTACTGGAGAGGCCTTTTGAAGCCAAAGTCTCTGTTTCTTGAGAGTTTCATCTGCCTCTGCTACTCATCCCTAAAATCAGTCTCAGCCACACCGCTACGTGACATCCCAAATGGAAGGTTGTCACTTCCAGTGGGAAGAAACCAAAGGAATGAAGTTGATTAATGAGGAGAATTACTTCATGTGCATGTCTTCATTAATAGAAAGCAGAGCAGGGAAGAGGCTTTGCAGGAGAAAAGTATGATATGAAACAGAGTTGTCTCCTATTTGATCCGTTTCCCTTAGAATAYTAGGATTTATTTTTAGTTGAGCAATGTTACTCATTTTGTTCCTCCGGTGTTTAATGTTTGCTTTGTGAATTTCCTCAATCACTCGTGTGCTGCCTGGAAATACCAGGGGCTGTCCTGGCCATCTCTTGCAGCTCTGGGAGCCTTTTGGGAAGGCAGGAGGAAAAGCTTCATGTTCTGCCTCCTTAGAAGCAATGCAGCTCATTACTGAAAATAATTCAGCATTGAGTATCCAGCTCTGGGGCCCCAGCCCAGGAAGGACAGGATCCTTGGAGTGAATCTAGAGGAGGCCACCAGGGTAGGTAGAGGGATGGAGCACCTCTCCTGTGAGGAAAGGCTGAGAGGATTKKGRTTGTTCAGCCTGGAAAAGAGAACAGGAGCATCCTAATTGCAGCCTTGCAGTGCTGAAGGAGCTACAAGAGAACTGGAGAGGGATTATTCACAAGGGCTGGAGTGAYAGGACAAAGGGAATGGGTTCAAACTGACGGAGGGCAGGGTTAGATCAGATACTGGGAAGAAATTATTTATTGTGAGGGCAGTGAGGCACTGGAAGAAATTGCCCAGAGAAGCTGTCCCTGCCCCATCCCTGGAAGTGTCCAAGGCCAGGCTGGAGGGAGCTCTGAACAACCTGGGCTGGTGGAAGCTGTCCCTGCCATGGACCCAGACAGTCTGTAAGGTTCCTTCCCACCCAAACCATCCCCCAATTCCAGGACTGAGTGTCCTTTTCTAATGGCAGGTACCCACACCAATATAATCCATCAATGGACTTGAGGTAAAAGAGAATCACAGCACAGGCATTGCTCAATGCTGGCATTGCATTTTGGGGGATAATTGCTCATTTGGAACTGAAATACCCCTGTACAGGCCATTCTCATGTATTTACGGTTCAACTCACGCTAAGGAGCTGCTGGAGCTAAGCAGGTCAGCAYCCTCAGAAAATTTTATTTTGGGAGCCTTGGACCGTGAGCTAATATCTTCCTTTGGCTGCAGTGTTGTAAATCCAGAATTATCCACTGAAGTCAGCTGTAATGTCAGCCAGAAATCAACTGGTAAGGATGATAAAACTCTGCTTTTAATTAATTTTCAAGACRTAAAGTGAAGCCAAATGTGTGTTTCTAGGCTGATGTGTGTGAGAAGGGTTGAAGAAGCACGTGTAGAAGGCAAGATGGTTCCCTGGCTTATAAAAAACCAGCACTGGAACAGTGACTTTGGTTACAGCTCTAGACCTTGGCCATAAACAGTGGAGTTTAGGGTTTTGTCCCCTCAGCAATTAAGAATTTCAGTTAGTAGACAACTTAGGGAAGGTCTGCACAAGTTTTTTGTGTGTGACCCATAAAAATAATATGAATGCAGACAGGATGATGTGTGGGAAATGAGGAACACATGCCTCAGCCAAGTCTGTTCCTGGTGGCAGCTCCTCCACGCTATTGTGGTTCCTTTCTTACCAGAAAACTCCAAGACCTGCACTTAACCAGGC